CCAAATGTCATTATATTTCTTTCAGAAAACATGCAGTTATCTCAGGAACTATGATAGTTTTTTAACTTTTCTTTTGATAAGGTCATCATGAAAGTTGAAGTCAGGTCAACGGTTAAGCCTCCATAGGTCAAACAAACATTGTGAAAATAGCTGTTTTTTATCAACCTTTTTTTCACGAATAACGTTTGAAACAGCAAAGATGAAGAATTGGCAATTGCACTATCGTGTTTCTCTCCTTCAGTCGCTTCGAAAAATGTATTTTATACCTGGAAAGGTCAAGGTCAAACTTTGATCTCAGGTCAAGGTCACGTGGTGACCTAAATAGGTCATGTTGCATATCATTCGATGCGTCTCGACAAGACAAACATCATGAGGCCATCCCCAGCTTTCTGTCTCTTTCCAATCAAGCTTTATTGGCAAAAATCTGTTTGTAGCCTCAAATGACCTCGGTTGACCTTTCTAGAGGCTATCAACAAAAAAGACACCTTAGTCGTCACGGGTGGTCCAAATCGTTGTGATTCTGAAATATTTGGACTGTTCCTATGCGTACACAGTACACACGGATCTAGAGGCCTTTTCATTTTTCTACATTGACTTATAATGGAAAGGTCACGCCACTGGCCTGACCTTAGGTCGCGGATATAAAAAAAAAATCTGAGATATACAAATTATAGGTACCCATAACGCCATGCAATCCACCAACTTTAAAGCCTCTCTGACAAACACTGCCGGCCAGTAGCAGCGGAACACTTTCAGTTAAGGGGGGGGGGGGGGCACTGCCGACTTTTGGTCCCATTCTTCCCATGCAACACCCATAGGGCTAGTGTTAAAATGCCAAAATCAAAGGGGACACGGTGCTCCGGTGCCCTCCCCGTTCCGCCCATAGATGATTGCAAACTTGTTTAGGCTTGCTCAGTTAACTTGACCTGTGACCTGACCTGACATGACCTGGGGTCGACAATTTCACAAATTATCTAAAATTGATGTACAGCCAGCTACTCCAAGCGGCGTGGCGATACGCGCCGCGGTTTTTTATTCATACAAAAAAAAAAACGCGACGAGTGGTAACTGGTAACATATGCCTCCCCCTTCCACACTGGGGCGAAGGTTAAATCTTTGCTTTCAATAGAAACAGAAATCCAGTGACTCCAAGACTTATGTTAAATAAACCTGAATGGTAATGATTGTTTTTAACCCGCGCACCGACGGGGGTCTGCGCCAACTTCGCACCGACGGGGGGGCGGATGACCGCCCCCCCCCCCCCTGAGACCTCAAGAACAAAGCAAGATAGCGACAAGCGGTAAACGGCATCGGATACGCACGGTCAAGATCTACAACTTTTACTAAGGTCATTTTCAGGTCAGGTCAAAGATGACGTCACAGGGGTCGAAAAAGTCAAAATGGCGGCGCTAGATATTGAGAGAGTTTTTCTCGAATAACTTTCGAACTGGTCAAGATAGGAACAACCTAAGGGCATCATCGTGATCCTCTCGTCAATCCGCATCGAATGATATATATGTTGACCTCGAAAGGTCAAGGTCAAAGGTTGACCTCAGGTCACGTGACCTCGAGGTCATCATGTATATCATTCGATGCGTCTTGACGAGCTGAACACAATGAGACCATCCACGCGGCTGTATCTTGTTCCTGTACGGAGTTATTGGCCAAAAACCTTTGGTGACCTTTGATGACGTCACATGACCTCACAGCTGCCCAACAGCAAAACAGACCTCAAGGTAGTGAAGGTTGATCGTATACAAAGTCATGTAGGGGAGAGTGGGGTAATTTGGCCGCTTTTTTTAGAAAACGATATAACTTAAAATTGACGACACATTTCTGCATTTTCTCAACGCTGGCATGTGTCGTATTCATTTTACTTTACTGGACAGTGAAATTGAACTGATAGAGTAATTACTTATATTGAAATTGTGACGTATTACAAAGGTCTGCAAGGCGGCCAAATTGCCCCACTAGCAGGGTTATTTGGCCGGGGGTGTGGGACAATTTGGCCGGTGTTAGTTTGCGGTCGGGATTTTATGTTATATTGCGAGTCAGCTTCAGATTCAGCAATGACGTGTGTCCTATGACGCATTTGCCGCATTTTGGAGGTTGACTCAGGGGTCACAGGGTTCAAAATAGCCAAATTAGCGGCTCTAGATGCGAAGACAGTTTTTTACGAATAACTTTTGAAGTAATCAAGCTAGGCCAAAACTTCGAGTACCATCGTAATTCTCTCGTCAGTCCGCATCGAAAGATATATGTGTTGACCTTGAGAAGTCAAGGTCAAAGGTTGACCTCAGGTCACGCTGCATATGGTCGCTTGACCTCAAGGTCACGTGATTTCAAGGTCATCATGCATATCATTCGATGCGCCTTGGCGAGCTGAACAGAATGAGACCATTTGTGCGGCTGTACCATTTTTATGTAAGGATTTATTAGCAAAAAACGTTTGGTAACCTTTGATGACGTCACATGCTCTTACAGTTGACCAATCGGAAGTAAGGCATCAAAGTAGTCAAAGTTGGTCATGAATCATGTCATTTATGGTACAATTGACCATGAAAACTCCGCCGTCCCAGCATATAGACCATGAGCGCACCGGCCAAGTTGCCCCGCTAGTCCCGGCCAAATTACCCCATATTGTCATTCGGAAAATTTTTGTCTTTAAAGTCATCACGGCTATACGGAATTAGATAAAATTGCTCTTGGAACCGCTGAACACCCCCAAGAATGACGCTATAATGTCTGAATTCGTTTTAAGCCCAAATACTACATGTTATACAACTTTGTAAACAGAAGTAAAAGTTACCATTTTCTAATGAAATTAACGTTTTATTAATTTTGAATAAAACTACGAGTGGCAAAGTTTTGACATTTGTCCTCCACTTATTTCTACCCATGACAAATGAATAGAGACTAGAGCTATTTCACTCACTTTTATTAGACAGCGTACAGGTGGGGGCGGCCAATTTACACCACCGGCCAAATTACCCCACTCTCCCCTATGGTATATGGGGCCATTCCGACCCGTTTTAGTGGTAAAAATAGGGAGTTGATTTTTCCCCCATTGACTTATAATGGGGAGGTCGCGAAATTGACCTGACCTTAGGTCACCGATATCAAAATTCCGAGATATACAAATTGTAGCTACTAATGACCTAATAACATCCTGCGACTTTCAAAGGTCTCCGACATCTACTGTAGCTCTGGCACGGTGACAAAGTTGCAAAAAAGTGACTTGAGGTTGGGTCATTCAAAGTGACCTGGTGACCTGACCTTAAAAGGTAGGAGGTTCAAACTTGCACACCATGTGTAAAATTGATGAGGAAATAGTCATAGCAAATTTCGCGGCGCTACGCGCCGCGGTTTTCCCGCTATTTGAGAAAAACCTCAGGGGGGGCGGATATCCGCCCCCCCCCCCGTCGGTGCGCGGGTTAAGACTAAAGAGCAGTTAGACTAATTTTATTTTTGCAATGTTTTTGCAGGTTCCAATGTCGATTTTTTTTTTGCCGATATGTTGTCTTGCCTTCTAAGCTTTATGGGAGAGAGTAGCAGTTAAACCTTTCCAGGCAGGGTAGAATTCGCACTGCCATGGTCGAGGCATTCTGAGCTCACTTTGCCGCCGACTTTGCAATTACTCAGTTGACATTCCACACCACATATTCAGTTACAATGGGTTCTTCGAACCAGCATTGGCAATCCAGCCCAGGACTATCTGCGGCAGATTATCTGTAAATTCACAATGAGTATGCGATAGCGAGACCCCTGCTGATTGGGACCCGAAATAGCCATCACTTGGCAGCTGGCATGGCAGCACGAAACCCGGGGCGACGGGAGTCAGATCACGGGATGTGGCCTGCATGGCAGAAGAACAATCCTATCTGAGACCGAACAATCCTATCTGAGACTGAGCCTTTGAAAACTACAGAGCGCTCCTTTCACCAAAAGATTGTCTGTAGCAAGTAGCTAAAGCATGTAAAACGAGAGCATTGCGATATCAAAGCAATGACTTATGCCCGTTGCCTTGGCTGGCATTTGCATCGATGTGATATGTTATGACGTGGGTAACCGTTACATTGGTTCTTTCTGGTCTGGCGTCAATCGCATGCTTTTTTTAAAGTTCGTAACGAGCAATGCATAGTAAGGGGCATGGATGGGAAGGCTTTATGGTCCTTTGTGTAAATGTTTACACTCATTACGCCGCTCATTTTTTCTTCTACCTGAAGTTTTTGCTTTTCATTTTATAAAAGCTTCCATCTATGTACAAATCATTTGCGCTGTCTCATTCTTGGACCCGCTGAGATTCCGTTCCGATCGTTTCTCCCATTGCTACAAGGCACAATGTTTATGTTTGTCACAGAATGTTGTCGATACGTGTTTTACATTATATTATATGTAGTAGGTATGCATATGACCTTTCCGTGCCACATATGGTCCTAAGTACAGTGTTTGAATGTTGCGTGGGGATTTGTCGTAACATCGGTGTGCGTGTGATGGATGCTGTATTGTTGTGCTAAAAAGAGATCGCTGACGTGAAAATTACAGCACGTCATACCTAAGTAGGTACAATCCAATCCAGCCATTAGATGCTTTATTCCCATTCGATGTTTGCTGTATCGTTCTGAAAAATGCATCATTCGTGGCTCCTTTCAGCGGTTGCTGCGTTGGTTTGTGTCGGTTGTGATACCATCTGACCTTTGTGTGTCACTGGATATTGTTCTAGCCGGTGTGCGTATGGCGCGATTACTGCCGAGGGCAGGCTGGAGGTGAATGTTTAACCAGCTGATCGATGTTGGCCACCGAGGGCCGTGACGTCACGCTGAATAAGCCATGATGCTGCTTGGCCTGCCGTCGGCGGGGGGGGGGGGCTCGGGGGGATGGGGGCGCAGGCCCACCGGCCAGGTGTCAAACGGCCGCGCAGCCGTGCCCTGCACGCACGGCCGGCGGCGGCATCAGACGGGCGGTGGACGGCGGGCGGCGGGCGGTGGACGGTGGACGGTGGACGGTGGACGGGTCACACCGCCACTAAGCGGGTCACCACTGCCTGCTCGGCTGGCCGGGCCATCCACACCGACAAGGTGGCCTGACAGGTCGGCGGCGGCACCATGGGCATTTGTCTCGACACCGGTAAGTGGCCGGCGCACCCAGGTATCGCCAGTCGCCAAAACGAGTCCGAGCTTCAAGTCATTTAGTTAGGTAGTTCAGTTTTACTTGTAAGCACCTACTGATTTTTCGTGGAGTAGCTATTTATCATGTCACGTACATTTAGATCATGAACACATATATAACTTGTAAATATGACTTAGGAATTTAGAAACGATCAGCAATGGCTAGCGCTTACACACAATATCCGATTCCTAACCCAAGTTGGGCACAGCCCAGTCGGTCCACTCGTTCTCGGGGTAAAGAGATGGACGGTGAACTGCATAGAGTGAGTGTGTTACCTGGCCCTGACTGTGCACGAATAATGCTTTTCACGGAGGCAGAGCATCCCACATGGCACCCGCCCTCTCAGTTTGATACCCATGCAAAGATCAAATATGTAGTTAGGAAGCCAAAGACCAGTTTATGACCAGGATATAGATCAGGAATTGTGGGATCCGAGGGTAGAGGGCGGTGCCGACGCAACAAGCCCTGCTCTGGGCTCGAGGGACCGGGGCTGGGACCGGGGCTGCTCAGGGACCGGGGCTCTGTCCTTGTGAATCCTTCCATTCAAAAGGCTCGGACTAAATTTATAAAAAGCAAAAAAAAAAATTAGCTTACCTTTGCGCCGTTTATCATGCCGGATAGACCCACTAACGACACGGAATTTCTTCTGCCGGAGGAGATTTACCACCACGAATATGTACCGCAACAAAAGTTGCATCATTCTATGTAAATGTTTGTGGAACTTTCACTATCACAGCTCTGAGCTCTTGTCATTCATTCTCTAGCCGTTTTTAATTGAGCGTGTTTGGTGCTATGACGAACGATAACGTGTTTGATGCTTTAATTAACAAACTATGCCGAAAAATTAGCCGTTTATCTCTTTGTTCAGAAATTTCATTAACTTTTTTATTTTTCAACTAGCAACTCAGCTATAAAACTGATGTCTTAGCGTGAGAAACTAAAGTGCTCTTATCAGGCGATTCCAGAAAGCAGCATAAGGAAACTGGAACAGTGCATGAATGCACATACCTAAAAGTTAGTAGATACTTTCCCAATGTCCATTGCGTGGCCAGGAGTAACGTACAGCCCGTAACCCGCGAAACTATCCTGCCCTGGAGGCTGGAGCCGTATGGACCGTCTCCATTACGCTGATGAAGACATCGCTCCTTACTTTGTTAATTGACCCCGGACAATCAATGTCGTAACTTAGGGCTGCATCGCTGCCACCTTCCTGTTGTCACAGGGCCCCAGAAATAATAGACATGTATCATCGTCAGCGGTCAAAGTTGAACGGTCACGCAAACCAGAAGAAAATCATGTACATTTATTATTCACACAAGGACACTGTATCACACAGTGTACCGTGGCCGCCACTCGCCACCCGGCCCGCCCGCTGACGGGGGTCTGCAGACCACTGCACTGAGTTGTGTCCCCCGGTCTGCCGACTGCCGGCTCCCCTGCTCCGCTGAGGATGCGTGTCTCCTCCGTCCCCAGCCGCCTCGCCCGTGGTCGGGCCCGTGTACCAGCCGCACCTGAAGGGCTACTCGACCACGCGGCTCACCACCCACCTGCCGTACAGGGGCATCAAGCGGCCGCCGGCCTCCGTCTACATGCCGCCCGGAGTGCTCGTCTACGTCATAGGTGGGTCACCGACGTCCCCCTGGGGTGCAGCGCTTCGCCGACCTCACCATTCAGGGATATAGACTGGGTAACGGTACTATGTAATTAGCGTACATTTCGGGTGAAAACAAAGCACTTCCAAAGAATGCTTGTTTGTAGGGACCAGCAGTTAAGTATTGCTCACCTTACGCTGGTAGTGACTCCAAATGTCATAAAGACAAGGCCATATGTGTGGTTGCGTGCGTGTCTGTGTATGTTTCTGTTTATCTGTGAGTCTGCTGTGTGCACTGCGGATTGGTGGCGGTCGATCCCAGTGAAATATGCACGGCATGAGCGTCACGTGTTTAAGCCGCCGTGGCGCTCTGTGACCTTTGGCGTTTGACCGTGCCTCCGGCCGGCCGCCGCTGGCCGCAGGTAATACCGCGGCGTTCCAGTGGGGTCGAAATACCGGCCCTGCTGGCGAGCAGCCGTCAGTCATCTTTATTCGTAGAGGGCAAACCATAGGTAGTGTTGTAGCCAGATTGTGCACAGATGTTGGCTGGTGTGTTCTGGTGAGAATGTTACCTGTAAATGTGCATAATCAACATAGTATAGGGGGTTCAATTGGACCCCCGACTCAGCCGTTTGGCCCTGATCAAGCTAGAGCTTCGCGGAAAAATCAAGCGTGCTGCCTATGACGAGATGAGGCCGAATATATCCAATTTCAAAGTCCAAGGTCATTAGTTGACTTTCCAAGTCAGTTTAATGACCCAACTAAAGTTGGGAAATCGAGACCTCTTGAAACTTCGTAAAGCTAGGGTGTTACGGGGTATTTTGGGGTGCTGATCACGAATTGCATGTTAGTTTTGATCACAGACGATGTCTTTATGCATTTAGGCCAGGTCGGGTCAGGTCAGGTTAGATCAACCAGTAGGCGTCCCGTCGGCCATCCATAGTAGGTGTCACCTACTACTGACAGCTTCGTAACATGGTACGGAGGCACCAGAACTACTTCGTAAATATTCAAATGGTTGCTAAATTCGAAATCAGCACCAAAAACTACCCTAGAAACCAGTAAAAATCGAAAAAGTGAACCAAGGTCATCAAAGGTCAATGACCTTGACTTGACCTTCACGTGACCTTGACACCCACCATACCTAATGCATGGCACCAACATCATTTCACATATTTGAACGTTTAAAACCACAAAAAGACTGGAAACCGCGGATAATGTCATTATCCGCTAGTCGACGTTCTCGATGCCAGACCGTTTTATTCCGAGAGAGGCAAAAAGTGGCAAAAGTTTGAGTAAGTCCCCGGACTAGAATTATGCGACGAATCGAATGGTATGAAAAGCAAAGTGTCAACTTTTGTCGAAAGTTGTTGATTTTCTATGTTTTTCCAAATCATTCTGCTAACTGAACTACCGTTTACAGTATATTTTGAATTTGGCGTTGCGAGTACAAAAATTTCAAAAATATGCTATGCATCGTCAAACTCCAAAAGGATAAAGCTATTAGACGATATGCGATTTGTGATGCTGGAGATCGTTGGTTTCGAGTTATAAGCCACACAACCGAGTGCAAGTTTTCAGCATTCATTTGCACAAGGTGTGTAAAGTGAGTAATGCCTGACTTTGGGCTCATTTTTTGTGCTCAAACATATTATAATAGGCAAAATGAGACATTCAACATGAAAGTTCAGACAATTTTGCGCATAATGAGGTCAAAATATTGATTAAAATGAGAAGTCGGTTCTCAGACTTAAGACAGGCTAGATCGGGATAATCCCTACGGTGCGCTGGACGGACGGGTAAAAATAATAAAACCTTTTAACTATCGCGATGGATATCAGAATGCAGCTCCTCACGGAAATGCGGTTCACACAGCCGTGCCTCAGCCCCGGCCGACTGCGGCGAGTCGGTCCCGTGTCACCCCCGGCCGACTGCGGCGGGTCGGTCCCGTGTCAGCCCCGGCCGACTGCGACGGGTCGGTCCCGTGTCACCCCCGGCCGACTGCGGCGCGGCGGTCCCGTGTCAGCCCCATTCAGCAGCCGGTGTGTCTGTATCGGTGGACAAATCGGCCCCGCTAGGCCGCACCAGGTGACTGTTAATATTGATACATACATACAGAGCTGATGGAGGCATCGATCAGGTAAAATCATTAATGAAACAGGTCAACCGCAAATGGCATTAATTTCTTTTGACAACACATTTGTATGCTTGTGTGTGCATATAGATATGAACATATGTAGTTCGTAAGCACGGCTGTCATAGAGGTAAGTACGTTTCCATGACAAGAAGGTTTTTCAAAACATCGCAAAAAAGGAAACATACGAGTATAGCAAGCTGCACACCTGCCGAGACCTAAACAGCTGTTTTCTTATCATCTTTGTCTCAGTACCGATACCACATTTGTGACATTGTGACATTGTGACATTGTGACATTGTGACCCACTCCGCGGACACATTGTGACCGGCGCCGCAGACACACGTTGCCAGCGCAAAGACGGGCCGCGGACACACGGTGCCAGAGCTAAGACGGGCCGCGGACACACGGTGCCAGCGCAAAGACGGGCCGCGGACACACGGTGCCAGAGCTAAGACGGGCCGCGGACACACGGTGCCAGCGCAAAGACGGGCCGCGGACACACGGTGCCAGAGCTAAGACGGGCCGCGGACACACGGTGCCAGCGCAAAGACGGGCCGCGGACACACGGTGCCAGAGCTAAGACGGGCCGCGGACACACGGTGCCAGTGCAAAGACGGGCTGTCCACACGGTGCACCTCCGGTCAGCAGGGGAGGCACCGCGCCACTGCACGCACTGTCGGGTCGATCGACTGCCCCAAGGTCAAAACACGGCCGTCACAGCACGGCGATTTACGGCATGGATTTACGACAGAAGGCGCATTGTCACTGGACTTCAGCTGTCATCATACAGGGAAATAAGAGACATTTTCGCTCAATCGGTAACTTTTCTTGTATCGACGATAGCATTCGTGATGGCAGCCCTCATCCATGCTGAGTGGGCAAATCAAAAATGAATTTCACCGATGTTTCTCTACCAATTGTTTCTTGATGTTATTAATTTTTCTTGCAGATAAGTAATGGCATACCATACCAAACTATGGTGTCAATCTGCAATTCACAATTGGTACAGCAGCGTTATATTTGTATCTTGGTAAAATGCAATGTCGTAGAATAGGTGTGATGCCATTATATTTGCAGTTTGTTTATTGTTATGAACCAATTATCGCGGCAGTATCCTGCACGCTTTATTGGCGCTGGCGAGTTGGTTATTTTGCCAAAGGGCGCATAAAATGCAACTTGCAATGTGGCTAGCGTCAAGCATGCTATACGCCGGACGTGCGGCGCGGTTAGCAACTTAATGTCGAGACTAGCTGGGCCACCGCAAACCTTCAACTTTTGGCGTTACAATTAGCCGTCACTCTGTTCCTGAGACTAATGGCCGCTAAACACAGCACCAGTGCCACGTTTGTGTGGCAGGGCCAGGGAACCCAGCAGGGCGTCCCGTTTTCCAGGCTGGTCAGGGACCCCACGGGGCGTTTTGTCCTCGGGGCTGACTGGGGGCCCCGGTGGGACCTCCCGTCTTCTGGGCTGGTCGGTGGCCGTGGAGACCCCCGTGACCTGGTGCCGCCCGCGGACCGCCCGTGGCGTGGTCCGCGGGTCACCGTGTCGCCCGTGACGTGGTCCGTGGGTCACCGTGCCGCCCGCGGACGGCCGTTCCGTGCACCGATCACGGACGGTGGCGACGCGTGCCGGCGTGCTAAGCGTGCTGTCCTGGATCGCCTGACACACGGCCATCCCTCCCACGGGTCCGGCGGGCGACTGGGCGGCGCCTGCCCCGTCCCGAGGGATCGAGGACGGCCGCGTGGATACAGCCGGCTCGCCGCTAACACCGCGGCACGAGGCTCCGTGTCCCCGGCGGATTAGCTTCCACGCGCCTTCGAAATAAGGCAGTTGACGCGGGGCTCCAGCGTGGATGGCAGCTGGTTTCAGAACCCGCATGTGTTTTATAGTTCCGTGACGGAGGGTCGCCAGTAGGGCTAAGGCACGCTCAGCGGTCCCATTTCACTAATGTCATGTGTCAACAGCCAGACGTAGGCGATTAGCCCTTCTATATCCATAATGATGAGCTGAGTTCCAAGGGCGCAACAGACAACACAGGCGGTGCTGCAGCATATGGGCTGAGCAGACACGAACAGATGTATGCATGTTCAGTGTTAGTATAAAACCATTTCACATCGCTTGTCTGGATTGTGATCGCCTAGTTTTTTTCAGTTAATTCAAAGAGTATTGTGTTCCTATAGACGGTGTATCACATTAAATATGCAAGTCCCTGAAACAGATCACCCGCCGTTCTGAAAAGAGTAACATGGTGGGGGATTGCTATAGTCTGCCGCACACTCGTCGTACAGTCACTGAATCTTACTTAGAATCTCTGAGAAAATGCATTGAACAGTCCCCGTTTTCTATTCGATTACCAAAAATATCCGACTAGACTGAACTGAGCCTTCTGAATCAAACCCCCTGGACTGAGCCAGTTGAACTGCGTGAGCTCAATTGCAGAGGCCGGCCGAACTGTGCAAGCTTAACTGAACTGATGGAGCAGAGCTTAATTAATTTCATGAGAATGAGCTGAATGTGACAAAAACGCTGGGCCGGGTCACATTTGTTAGTCTTTGGTGTACTATAACAAGCCAAAGAGGAAATGCATTACTTATGTACCTTACTTACGTAATGTTCAAAGAAAGCTAATGCCACTGAAAATTCCGCACGCTTACCGTTTCCTGAATGATTAACTAGCGACATTTCAGCGGCGGGGCGCGCGGCGCATACAAACGATCAGTTGCCGGCCAACAGGGGCCGATTTATCCCGCCGAGTTCTGCGCTAATGAGGCCACCTGCCTAGCTCATGCATCATCCAGGCGCCCACGGCGCGGCGGCCCGCTGACGGCCCGGGCAGGTCGGCAGTGGTCGGCGCGACCCGACCCCGTCCGCCATCGAGCATTGATCACAGCG